CATATTCGGCAAAAATTGTTCCGATTTGATTATGTTACCTATTCCTTGGTTTCGCTGTCTTTCCCAGGATGTTCCCTGATTTCCCAGAATGTTCCTTGAGAGATGCTTAGTTTGTGATGGTTGTAACCATGGATTCAGCAAATGTATTTATAGGGGGTAGAAAGGTAAGTTGGTGGATCTTGAATTTTTTAGTTGGATGAGTCATGTATACCTCATCCACATGAGTAAAAAACACAAGTGCTCTATAGACATTCTTTAAAGAAGATTGATGTTGGACAGGTGATGATGTGTCTGGTTTCTTCTAGAAGGAGATTTTGCTGCAGAAAGGACCAAGTTTTATTTAGTGAAGATTTCACAAAAATGATCATCAAGTTATTCAAAGAAAATAATTAAATAGTAAATTGACAATATTATAATTATGTAATATTAGCATGACCAAAGACATTTTATTAGAGGCTAAACATTAAACAATTTTATTTTATTTTTCAAAATTTAAGAGGAAAGTGATAAATAAATTTGTTGCTTAAAATTCTAGTTGGTTTTTACAATTAAATCGGTTCAGCGGTTTCCAAGAAATTCCATGAAAACTTTCAAAGCTAGCATGCAATAATTTTTCATTTGTAAAGTAACTTTTATAATTTTATTTTTTATATCTAATTGAAAAAATCTCTTTCAGCATTTGTTTTCAAGAGTTGGGAGGGAAATCAAACTCTTTGTGCAATTGGTGGATGAAAGTAAAATTATAGGATTACTTGGGTCAGCATTTCAATCCTACAAAGCAATGACACATTGGCTGCTTAGACTGTGTGTGAGCATGTGAATTAATCTTTTTGAGCTGGCATTTTAGCTTTCTGACACCATTTCTCTCTCTTAGTAACAGAACAAACCAACAAACCAAAGACTAAAAGGCATTGCTCACACACACACACACACACACCCCGAACTTGTGAAGTAAACCAAACCAGCATTGTGAAGGATACTATACAAATTATGCAGTGATATCATCTTGATGATTATTAGTGGACAATGCGTCTGTCATGTATAAGAGATTGGGTCAACATACCAAAATTGAGATCATTAGTTTTCAGCAGTTGTCTCTATTTAGAAATGTAAGACCTTTTTTTGAGAATTTAAATACCCAATTAATCTTAGGAAAGGGACTTGGATATGCTGCAAAATACAGCTGGTTTACTAACAACACTATAGAAAGTCTTTGGTTAAACCGTTCAATTAGACCTCCCTTCTTCGTATAGGCTTAATAATTGGTGCCTTGATCTATTCACCATGACGGGTAAAACCAAATTAGAATTTCAAAGCATTATTCATCATTCTAAATAATAATTAAAAAAAATATATATTGATACTTCAGCTTGACTGAAACCACAGAATCAAATTATCTGTACATTTCCGTTGTGAGGGAAAACAAAGTTAGTTGAAATGGACTCAGCACTCTTGAAATCAATTAACCTTGTGTTTGGTTAGGAGATTTGAGGAGAAATTTGGAAAGAAAAATGAAAAAGGTAAGTGAAATGTAAATAAAATATACTTATATTTCACCTAGTTTCACACATTTTTCCTTTTTTTTTTTCAAATTCCTCCCCAAATCTTCCAACCAAACACAACATAAGTGTTACTTAATTAGTGAGGAAAAGTGACTACTCCAAAAGTCACAAACTGATAGGATCAAACCACCCAAATGCTTTATATCTGAACTACAATCCTCATTTTTGACATTCCTTTTTTATCTTATCCTGAGGTGGAAAGTATTGGATAGTAGGGCAGGGCAGATTAAAGAAAGATGACTCAACACTTTTCAATGGTGTCACGCCCCAAGTTCCGTGACAACGCCGCACACTTATTTAAGTGAGCATGCAAGGCTAAGAGTCCAATCACATAACCCACAATGTAAAGTACTCAAATTAAATCCTTAATTATCATAATGCTAAAATTCATAAAAATAAATAATTCTTATCATATGAAATTATCCACCAAGTCCACTAATATAATCCACTAACAAAATAATAATCCCAGTTCTTAAATCATAATCCTACTCTCAGCACTCCCACAAGTAAAAACCTCGCTCAGCTCTACTCCTCAGAATCTAAAATAAAATAAGGATAAGCTAGACAGCCCAGTAAATAACCAACCATCAGTGCTAACTGAATCAAATATGCCAAAAAAAAAAAAAAAAAAATAGTCGATAACCAATAAATATATTTTTTGCTACCATTCAATAAATAAACAATTATTTTGTAAGATGGTTTCATAGCTGAAAATAAACAGTGTAGCAATACATTTTAATTGAAAAGACAATGAGGTAATTCGACGAAATTTCGTTGTTCAAAATTGATGGTTCGATATTCAATGGTTCAATGACGCAATTCACAAAACCCAAGTTTTGGTGACTACGGTCACTTAGCCCATGATAAGACCCAAAACCACACATAGGCCGGTGGTAAAACCCCAAAAGAAACTAGTTTCTATGCCAATAAATAACCCCTATTGGCTAAGGTTCAAATCATAGTCAGACTATAGTGATGTTCAAAATTTAAACAATACACAACTTTTAAATAAAATATTCAATATTTTTAAAATAAACATTTAGTACAATTTTCATAATAGTTCCATAAAATATTCAAATAATTTTCATAATAATATTCGATGCTATTTTATACTTGATCCATATTTTATTTTAAGAGAACACGAAAGCTATGAATAAATACTTATAATTTTAAACGATTCAATAGGAATAAAAATGAACCAACAGTGAACCAACAGTGATAGAGGGTTACTTACACAAACGCTTAGAAATAATATTCCAACACCAACTCCAAACACCCAGCTCCACCACTTCAATCATACAAACCTAATAACAAAACCTGAAATAAATTAATATTTTTACGTGTTACATATACCCACAAAAACCCCACCATAATAGATTAATGTATTGCTTTAATATCCAAGCGATCAAACCATTCAACCCAACTTTATAGCCAAACACACCCTTACCCATGATACAAAACTCCATTGTTTCTATTACCCACCCAAAGTTACACTTACACATTGCACCCAATTCTCAAAACCTAAGTAGGCACCTATAGATCTTCCAAATCCCCTTAATGCATTGCTTGTTAAATTCCTCAACATAAACTTAATAATTAACAGTAAAGACAGATTTTACCTTAACCAATGTGCGTCCCAAATTCACCAATGTGCTACCTCCAATCCCTATTGCAGCCTCACTTGAACCTCTCTTCTCTTTTTCTTTTCTTTTTTTTCTTTTACCTTCTCAAACCCTAGCCGCCTATGGAGCAATTCCCAACCTCTGTTTTGTTTGTTTTCCAAGACTTAAAGCCACAATAGGTGGGCTTATTAACCTAATTTCTCAAAGTTACAAAATTACCCATCTAAGTAATAGGAAATATAATGCCATGTCATAACTAATTCTTTGATATTAATAAATGACCCATATAAATTAATTTAATTACTTATCTATCCAATAAAATGATCCTCCACACAACTTGGGTTTTACAAATGGTCCATCTCGACATGTTTGCATGTACAAATCTAAAGCCGGCCTTACATGCTACTACTTTATGATAAGATATATATATATATATATATAATGTTATTGTTAGTAGGAAAGAGAATCAACGCATCATAGCCCCATCAGCACAATTTTTTCACTTGTTGAACAACTTTTTAACTCATGAAGTTTCGAGGTTAGTAAGCATTGTTGGTTTTGTTTGAAATTTGTGCCCTTAAAATCAATCAATCTTAATATAAGTAATAAAATTGGATAGATAATGAGAGATTAAAGAAATCTTAAAATCAGTCAATCTTTGGCTTCTTCACTCAATGCCGTTTGTCTTTGTTTAATAAAATCACATCAGAAGGTTGTAGGGTACTTTTATCTCTTCTTAGTGGTTCTTCATATTTAGTATTACAATTCAAAAGCCCTTTCCCTTGGTTCTAATCAACAATAAAAAATAAGAACTCGTCTTGAATTTTGAAGGAGTACATTTACTAGATTATTTATAACATGAAAGTGTAATACAGCCAAAGGTCAAAGCAAACGAAGCCTTTTGATTTGGCTGACAATCACAAGTATAACACTTGTTGTCATGTTTGTTTGGTCGGACGGATTGAATTAGATCAGATTAGCATTCCTAGGACTGTTAGTCTTAGACTATGTTTAGATCATGGATTTGGATAGGGATTTGGAAAGGGAAAGTTATCAATCTTTTTGGATTGTGTATCCTATCCTATGTCCGGATGCACTATTAATCTGGACTATAATTTTCTTAGCCCAACATTGAATTATGCATTTTGCTAGATTATTAGTCCAATCCCAAGGCTATGTCTGCCCAAACAAGCATGAATAGAAGGATGATGGCAAGAACTGGAAAAGTTCTGTGACCAAATGGGCAGGCAATGGAAAACCTTGTTATTACTTTTTGAAAGTACGATCAGAATTGCTGTGTGAGGAAGATCAGTGAAAAATACAAGAGAAGCTGAAAAATGAGGGGCAGAAATTGAAAGAGAGTTAAATATCAATTTTAGTGATATTAATCTTGGAATTTAGGAGTGATTTGTAGATGGAAAATATCACATTTCCCTTCCTTTGTATTTTTCCCTCCTCAAATTCTTCCTTAATCCAAGACCCAACACAGCCTAAGAAAATTCTTGCTTCTGTAAACCAGTAGCCAAAATTATTTGCAGTAACTAAATCTCACAGCACAAAACCACTGACCCTTTGTTGATTATGAATTTTGTACTTCTCTCAAATTATTGTTTTTCGACAATTTACTGGTTTCCTTTTTCCACCTGTCATTCTTTACATATAATGCTAGGATGTAGCAAACAGAATCAATGACTCATTTACTGATGAGAAATTGCTTTCCATTGAAGCAAAAGCCTAAGTAAAAGTTTGTTAGAATGTGATTATACAACTTTCTTCTCCTAATTCATATACACATCTAACAAATACATCTGTTCAATCACTTCTGATCAAGTTGTAAGTATTGAGCTGAGATTGAGAGAGTCCCTTGAAGATATTTGAAGGTTCTGCGATAATTCAGCAATGCCATGAACCAGAAATCAAAATTGTCCACAGTTTCTATTTCTCTGTACTCCCACGATGGTCTCTTCGTGTTTTGGCTCTCATTGGCTCTCTTTATCTTTACTAGTAGGATCACGACCTGCATGTGATTCACATCACTTAGCTATTATTTAAGATTTTAACAAGAATGAATATGAATTCAGATATGGATATTAACTTACTTTGTTATGGATTCGAACTGGCTGCCTATTCGGAGATGACAATTTGATTGCTCTCTCACTGTAGAAAGCAACCTTGTCGGTTGAGATAAAGAGGAGGCCTGCTATAGGACCGGCTGTTGTTGACAAATAGCATTGGGAAGCCTTGAACAACTTCTCTCCTTCTCTAATGTTAAAATTCTGCTTGAAGATCTTCTCCATCCCCCCAACTTAAAGAATTTTCATGGTCAATCTCAACTTCCCTTTCACTGTTTCCTAGATGTTGGGCCCCTAATCTCATTGCAATTTTGTAAAAGAAAAAAAAAGTTAAAACATGATACAAGGCCAAAGTTTACTATGTTGTTTAAAGTAGAAGATGTGTATTTGGAATTTTTCAGTTTTGGCTATGACAATCGAGGAAACAAAATCAAAATTCAAATGTTGGATACAAGTGTTAGTTTGATACGTGTTCTTAAAACTTTGATTAATTAGTCTCACACTCAATTGAATTGAGAAATAGTTACCGTGATCTTGAATGCCATTTGCAAGATTGTCACACTCCAAATCCAGACATTATTGAAATGTGTCCCACATCCCTTAGAGTTGCCCCATGTGTGCTAATTATAAGGCTCTAGTTTCCCTCTCCTTAATGCATGTGTTTTAAGGAGAAGTGTGGGCTGGGCTTTTCAACTTGGTATCAGATTTTGGTTGGGCCTGTGACTAGTGGGCTATTTGTCCAACTAGTGTGTGTTGTGGTCTAGGAGGGTGTGTTGGAATGTGTCCCACATCGCCAACTAGTGTGTGTTGTAGTCTAGGAGGTGTTGGAAATTGTTGGAAAATTCTGGGTAAAACCAAAATTTTTTCCTAACTTTAGTCTATTATTTAGGTGGGACCCGAGCGTCAAATTTGGCGGGTCAAGGTGGTAACGCGTTCTATGTCGCGTTGTGATTCACGTGGTATATTTGGTTGCTCAAAACCATTACCGAGTGAATGGGAAATTGAAGCCAATGTATGCTCCATGGAAATGGAGTTTTGGTGAAAAATAAGGTTTGAATAAGGCTTGTCCCACATTGATTTGGTGGGAAATTTTGAATGAGTTTATAAGGCATGAGATTGGAATTTAGGGTGTGCCCCAAGGGGTACAGTGTTTTAGAGAGGGGGGTTCTGGGCAAAATGGGCTAGACCCATTGGACCCAAAAATCACCACACACGAGCGCCGTCCGGTCGGTTGGGCTGGGCTGGGCTTGGGCACGGGTGCGTGGCGTGAGGTTGGGTTGGGCTTGTCCGGCCCAATACCTTTCTTTTTGGGTCAAAAACATTTGAATTTAATTTTATTTTTTGAAAAATAAAATCTAGAATTCAAATTAATTCCAGAAATAAACTGGTCCGATTTTTCTATACATCCAAACAGGTCCCTTCCCGTTTTTATCTGTTTGAATTTTGAACCCAATAGATTTAAATCTGTTTAATTCAAAACCAATCAAGTTTCATACCTGTTCAAACAGGTTTGCACCTATTTAATTCAAAACCTGCAGCCACCAATACATCTATAAATAGGACAGCCCTCATTTGATGTTTTAGATTCAGAAATTTCTTACTTCACCATTGCAAATTTATTCTTCATTTTACTGCATTTAATTTTTGTGAGAGAGAGTATAAAACATTTAGTGTGTTCGTTTTACAAATATATTGTCGTGCTGCATATATTTGTTGTTGATCATTTCATCTTGGGAGATAGACGTCCATATTCTGAAAGCATTGTGGAGAGGACGAATCTGTTGTCACACCCCAAATCCGGGCATGACCGGCCGTGGCCCACAGGGACTTAGCCCAAGGCACACGTAAGCCTAAACACAAATCCAATCACATTGAACAACTGAACAATACTCCAATAATAAATAACCAAAACTCAATCCAGACATGCCACAATTATAAACGGCAAAATCAACCGTAATCAAAAGCCATCCAAACTTATGGGATATAAACAACCCACATATCAAAAATAATCCTAAATGAACTTCCATAAGAATAAATATAAATATGCACAAACTTGACATAACACTCTAAACTAAAGGAATGCCCTAAAGGTCCATCCAATTGAGTCCCCGCTACGCCATGAGTCCACTCTAAGTCCTTTTAACACCTGGAAATGGTAAACAACTAAGTCAGCTGATAGCTCAGTGAGTAGCAACATGGATAGTAAATACAATTTTGAAAACAGGGTTCAATTCCAAAATAAGATATATATCACAGAAACTAGATTGGCATACAGTTTGGTAAATACAATCTGTTTCAAAAAGAAGGTTCCACAATTCAACACTTAAAATACTCATGTCTCGCATTTAGTAACTAGAAAATTAATTTGTGTTTTAATTTTTTTTGATTTTTGTAATCAGAGATTATGGCTACTGCTACTGAAACTGCAACTGGTAGTAGTACTCCAATTGTTACACCAACACCGGTCCCTATCCAGAACCATGTTCATGTACCAATCAATCATGGAGAAAAAATGGAAAAATTTAACGGTACTGAGTTTAAAAGATGGCAGCAGAAGATGCTGTTCTATCTTACAACTTTTAATTTGGCCCGGTTTCTCCATGAAGAGGCTCCAGCACTTAAAGAGGGTGAAAGTGATCGGCAAGTTGTTGTCGCTATAGATGCTTGGAAACATTTAGATTTCCTGTGTAGAAACTACATCCTCAATGGCCTTGACAACATGTTGTATAATGTTTACAGTCCTTTGAAGTCAGTAAAAGAATTGTGGGATTCTTTGGAGAAGAAGTAAAAGACAGAGGATGTCGACACAAAGAAATTTGTTGTCGATAAATTTCTGGACTTTGTTATGGTAGACTCCCAAATGGTAATTTCTCAAGTTCAAATTTTTCAAATAATTTTGCATGATATTCATTCAGAAGATATGTCTCTTAGCGAGTCTTTCCAAATCGCTGCTTTAGTGGAAAAGTTACCACCAGCTTGGAAAGATTTCAAAAATTATTTAAAACATATATGCAAAGAGATGACCATGGATGAATTGATTGTAAGATTAAGAATTGAGGAAGATAACCGAAAGGCTGAAAAGAGGAATGAGAAAAATCCCATTGAGTCCAAGGCTAATGTGGTTGAACAAGTTCATAAACCACATAACAAAAAGAAAAAGTTTACTGGAGATGGTCCTAAACAAGGCGATGACAACAAGAAGTTTAAAGGAAAATGCTATAACTGTGGCAAAACTGGACATCGGGCTTCTGACTGCTGCCACCCTAGGAAGGATCATGGAAGTATAAGCAAGAAGATTACCAATCAGGCCAATGTAACTGAACTAGATTACATCTCTGACGGAGTGAATGACATCAACCTCTCTGCTGTGGTGTCTGAGGCTAATCTGGTTGGAAATCCCAAGGAATGGTGGGTTGACACTGGGGCAACTCATCATATTTATGCGGACAAGAAGATGTTCACTACCTCCAATGAGGCTGCAAATGGTGAACAACTTTCATAGGAAATTCTTTTACTTCTACTGTGGTTGGACAAGGGAAAGTGATCTTGAAGATGACATCAGGGAAAGAATTGACCCTCAACAACGTGGTACATGTACCTGACATCCGGAAGAATTTAGTTTCTGGTTCTTTGTTAAGTAAAAATGGTTTTAGGCTTGTTTTTTAGTCTGATAAATTTGTATTAACAAAGAGTGGTATGTATGTTGGATACATGAGTGATAGTCTCTTTAAATTGAATGTAATGACAGTTGTACCGAAAGTTGCTATGAATAAGAATAACACATCTTTTGCTTATATTCTTGAGTCGAATTTATGGCATGGTAGATTAGAACATGTAAATTATGATGCTTTGCGTAGATTAATTGGTTTAGATTATATACCAAAGTTTGAAATTAATCATAATCATAAATGTGAAGTTTGTGTAGAAGCGAAACTAATTAAGGCTCCATTTAAATTGGTTGAAAGGAAAACCGAACCTCTAGAATTAATTCATACAGATGTATGTGATCTTAAATTTATTCAAACTAGAGGAGGCAAAAAGTATTTCATAACATTTATTGATGATTGCACAAGATATTGTTTTGTTTATTTACTTAGAAGTAAATATGAAGCCTTAGAAATGTTTAAACTCTACAAAACAGAAGTTGAAAATCAACTTGGTAAAACCATTAAAATGGTTAGCAGTGATAGGGGTGGTGAATATGATGCACCATTAAATGAATTTTGTGCACAACATGGCATTATTCATCAAACTACAGCCCCTTATTCTCCACAGCAAAATGGAATTGCTGAAAGGAAGAATAGAACTCTAAAAGAAATGATGAATGCCATGTTACTAAGTTCAGGCTTACCACATAACTTGTGGGGGGAAGCAATATTGTCTGCTAATTATGTTCTTAATAGAATACCCCACAAGAAAACCAAAAGCATTCCTTATGAATTGTGGAAAGGTCGACCACCTTCTTACAAATACTTAAAAGTGTGGGGGTGTTTGGCAAAAGTTGAAGTTCCTGTTCCTAAAAAGACTAAGATTGGACCAAAAACAGTAGATTGTGTGTTTATTGGTTATGCTCAGAATAGTAGTGCATATCGGTTTCTGACTTATAAATCAGATATACCTGATATAAATGTGAACACTATTATAGAGTCAAGGAATGCTGTGTTTTTTTGAATATGTCTTTCCTTGCAAGAAAGGACAGGAATTAAGTTCAAAGAAAAGAACTTATGATTGTACACAAAGTCAAGAGACTAATGACAATCAAACACAAGAGACTAGTAATGGTCTCAACCAACAGGATTTAACTGATGATGAACCAAGACGAAGTAAGAGAGCAAGAACATCAAAATCCTTTGGTCCAGATTTCCTAAGATACCTATTAGAAAATGAACCTCAAAGCTTTAAGGCAGCAATGACAGGTCCAGAAGCACCTTTGTGGAAAGAGGCTGTTAATAATAAAATTGGATCCCTTATGCAAAATCATACTTGGGGATTGGTGGATCTTCCACCAGGTTCTAAACCTCTTGGATATAAGTGGATATTCAAGAGAAAAATGAAAGTAAATGGTTTAATAGACAAGTATAAAGCAAGACTTGTAGTAAAAGGTTACAGACAAAAGGAAGGTCTTGACTATTTTGACACATATTCCCCTGTGACTAAAATAACATCCATTCGCATGCTTATTTCTATAGCAGCGTTGGTTAATTTAGAAATACATCAAATGGATG